CCTGGAATGCATGTCTAAGTTTTGGTGATGTTTCCTTGCTCCTTCCCTCATATAGGGCACAGTAAGGAGTACAAAAGAAATAAATATTGCACTATGGTTGTGGAAAAAAGCCTTGTGGGTGCTCTTTCATCTCTTTACATAGCACAGTGCATTTAAAAATGCTAATTAGGAACATTGCCCAGCACTGAAATGCAGCTGCTACTAAAGAAAACACAAAGACTGCTTGCCCATGGGTAGAAATCTCAGAGAACAGGAAGTGAAGAGTTAGTACACCTGCACAGAACTCCAGGAAGATTTTGTGTTTGGCCAGAGGGAGGCAGATATTTCTCTTTCTAGTAAAATCTGATAACGAATCTGTAATACAATTTGTGGTCAGAATCTGTATTTTCCATCCAATCCAGAAGCTGACACAAAGATTGGACAGTTTTAAGCACTGGCTCAACACTGGAACAACTAGAACAGCACAGCCCACTGCCCTATAAAGAACTCCTTAAAAAAATACTCGGATTTTCAGGCACCCCTTTGTTGGTTAAGCCTGATCTTTTGTACAGATTTTAGTATCCTACTCAGTATTTTCGTGGATGAGAAGCAGCACTATAGTATTCGTGAGCCAGTGTTGCTTCCAGAGCGCAGGAGTGACGTTAGGAGAATAAGCTGTTCTGGTTTTGTAGGTTCACAGTTTGCATTACAAAATATACTGATGAGATTAAGGGCTTGTTTTGTTTTTTTTCTCTTAGAAATCAGTCCTTAATGGTGCATCTCGGGAGAGATGGAAAGAGACGGGTTTTTACAGAGCCAAGACTGAGCCCAAAAGGCAGCAAGAGGAACACAGACAGCTGAAGAGAGAGCAGCAGCAAGAGGCAGATGGCATCCAGCGCCAGCTGCGCAGTCACAACCAGAGGTAATACCTAGGAGCTAACTGGTTTTTGTAGTAAATGTTGGAAGGTTTGTAATGTCCACTCCCTGGTGCTCTCATTCAGTCTCTGAACATCACACGCTGTGCCTCATGCTAGTCTCTGCAGAGTGGTCGCAGTGGTTTACTAATGGGAATACAGTCAGTGCTTGAGGCGCATGAGTGAGTGTGTACACATGGACTCACCACCTTTAGCATTACCTCCAAGGGCAAATCCCCTTCTATCTCATCCTCAGGCCCAAAGTCCTTTTGCTTCTCAAACTCCTGTTCTCTGCCTCTGGCCACTTAAGTTTAGCAGGTCCTTTCCCCCATGACCCACCTCCTTCCATCTCTTCTGTTGCCCCTGTAGCTCCACCACCAACACGCGCAGCCATCCCGTTGTCTGGGTTAGTCCTACAGCCCCCTCTGCACAATCCATTTCCTCGGTTCCTGGTCTTCAGGCCCAAGAACTCACGGACACACCAGGTTACGGGGGCAGGTGCACAGATGGTTGCAGTTAGCTGACATCAGGCACTGGCCCATGTGGGTGTTTTGCCACCTCTGTTTAGGACATAGGTTTAACCCTCATAACCTAACAAAGAGTCCTGGAATATAACAGAGCACAGACTGCCAGAATATCTGCTTTGTGTCTTTTTGTTTTATTGCTCTTTCTCTCTGAGAAATTTGAGAAATTCTGTTTTGGAAACAGGCAGCGATTGCGTCAGAGAACATTGCAAGGGCTGGAGAAACGGCTGGAGCACAAAGGCAGAGCTTTGCAGCACGTGGCACTGCTCCAGGCTGCTGGGGCAGAGAGGAGCAGGAAGGAATCCCTCCTGCCAGAGGAGAAGAGGGAGGCAAGACAGAGGCTGCAGTTCTTAAAGACGCAGTGTTTGCAGAGAGAGGAGTTGCAGGCAGAACACAATGAAAGGAGCTTTGAAGGAGAGAAAGAAAGGCTGGTAAGGGCAATTCCAGCAATGTCTTTCCTGTACTACTGTGTTTCCAGCAGTGGCACTACCCAGAGTATTTGTCTTTCACTTGTTTTATATCTAGTATAATTAGATCATTTAGAGAGAAATAATTTTTTGACACATGTATAAAGATGAACGATGTCAAGTAAAATTCTCTGTCTCTGCCATAGAAGGAGTCTTTTTCCATGCAAGGAATGAATTTCTATAGATTATACCCATTTCTGTCTTCTGCCAGTGCTAACTGCAGATGAAATTCAGCATGAAAGCAGGCTGTAAAATTGTAAATGTCTTTATTTTTATGTAGGATTTTCTCAGGAGCAGAATGCAGTCATGGCAGGAAATGTTGGAGCAAGAGTCAGGGGAGCAGGACAGGCAACAAAAACATCACCAGGCTGCCAAAGGGAGAGTGCTCCAGAGCAGAGACCGTTCAAGCCAGAAGATGAAAAAAAGGACACAAACTCTGTGACCTCCAGCAGTACCTCAGAGAACAGAATCTTTCGATGCTCCGGGCATCACTGCCAGCGTGAGGAATCTGCAGCGTGGGTGAGCAGGCCTTTGAGCAGTTCACAGACCTAATCTGTATCTTGTAGGTGTGAGTCAGTGTGCTGGCGCTTGGGTGCTCGAGTGCAGCTGTGACAAGCAGAATTATGATTCCTGGAGAGGTCTTTAATCTCTTTCATTGCAACAGAGTGCATTTTCACTGTTCTGCCCTTTACATGTATTTCTTTCTGCAGTTACTCTTCTGGTCCACCTCTGTCAAACTGTTCTTCTGTCTTAAGCCTGTGCAGTGACCCTGCTGACAGACCCAACTCTGCAACCAGGAGCAACCTTGGTAGTTAATATGAAACACAGCCATAGTGACAAGTTTCTGTTCCAGACATCTGAAGTGGGCCGGCTCTTTCCACAGCACTCCAAGGAGCTGGCGCCTGTAGTGCTGAGTGTTGTAGTCTGAGGCTGGTGAAAGCGTCATGGGACAGTCCAGAGGGGAGGAACAGAGGAGCTGAGAGTTAAAAAAGGGCACAAGACCTAGAGCGTGGCAGAGGGGCAGCAGGTTGTAATGGCTTTCAAGATGCAAAAGACAGAGAAAGGAATTAGTTAAGTGAGGGCCATCTGACAGAGTAGGAGGTGAAGGACAAGAATGAAGGTCAGGAGAAGTGCCCTGGTGTGGTAGTTTCACTCCCCTACAGGAAGAATGCACAAAGGAAGGTGTATTTTCAGCTCTAAGATCCATAATATGCATGAGCCAGCCTGAGATTTTTGGTTGTTGTTTTTTTGGTTTTGTTTTTTTTTTTAAAGGGATAAGGAAAGAAAAATAAGCCTATAGGTAAGGCAAAGGCTTTGAGTGTTTGTTTATTTAAGGTCTGGAAAAAATGTAACTCGTTGCATATATGGAAACTACAGGTGAAGCACAGTTTTGCATTTTAGACACTGAATTCTGTCTTTAATTGGAATTCTGGAATTCTGTCTGGAATTGGTTTAAGCTCCATTTACCCTCTGGAAAAGTTGGCGCTCAGCAAGAACATGGGTGCCTGAGACCTGCCTAACTGATGGGCCTGGCCCAGGCTGCACGCACCAGTGCTGTGCCTGGCACCTCTGGCCCCAGCTGGGTGGAAGTGGGAGGGGCATCACACTACTGCATGAAATGGATGCTGGCAGCACACAGAAAGTTTCTTTAATGTAAAGTTCAGGGGTTTCTTGCCCTTCTTCTTTTCTGAGTTCTCTCTCATGTGCTAGTTAGGCCAACAGTGTACCTAGTTGTAAGTTTAGGTCTGCCTAGACTTACAGAAACAAGCCTATAACTTAGAAGATACTCACTGCTGCTTTCATCCTTAAGCATTTGAAAATGGAATACATAATGATTAAAGGGAAGTACATTAAATATATTGAGCAGAATCTAAACTTATTTTTCAGACTTCGTTTATAGACCATTAATAATTATTTTATAATCACCATAAAACAGCAAATTGTCTGCTTATGTACTTTCTCTTCATTGCTTAACCATCTGAAAACAGCCCACTGTGGACACCCTGTGCTGCTGCAATTTCACATACAGTATATCTGGGAATCATATTTCCAATCATTCATAGACTGTGTTTCTCACTGTTAAAATACAGCCATAAAATAATTTTAATACTACTGTTAAAATAACTGCCTGTAAAAGTCATATATGATCTAGCTCTTTTGCAGGCTTTATTTAATTTTAAACATTCATGATGTGTTTTCCATCCATTAGGAAAATGTTTGGACTCCTTGTTTTGCAAACTATTGGAAAAAAAACCCAAGTATTTGCATATTAATTAAGGTTTTGAGTTGACTAGGGTGAAACTAGGGGAGCAGAGGGGAGAGTGATAGGAAGGAAGCACAAAGAAGAAAAAAAAAAACAACTTTTTTTAAGGTTAAAAAAACCCCAAACTAAGACCAGTACAAATAGTCCCAAAAGTTGTTTTTATTATGGAATTAGCTTTTCTGCCTAGGCATGTATTTTCTTTTGCTGTTTATAATCCATACTCCTATAGTATTATGGTACAGTATGGAAGTTTGAAAAATCAGATTGATTTGTCTGTTTTTAGCATTCAAAATGACTAAGAACAGACCATGCAGTGTCTCAGGACACTTCTACAATAAAAATAGAAGTTAAAAGTACAAAAGAGTTTATTGGATTTTTTTTCAGCCTGAATTAGTTGCTTAGGTGGTGCTAGAACATCATTTCTCATATCACAGTGACAGGTAAGTCAGTAAATTACCTTTAAATATTTAACTTGACATATTTCAGAATAGACTTGATCAATGAACATCTTTTAAAAGACTTTTAGACAAGAAAACTGCTTTTCTTATCAGGCTGCAGTGATCTTAGTGTACCTAAATTACATGATATGTCAGTTTAAAAACTATGAGAGCACATTAGCTCATACAACTGTGTAATGAGTCAGAGATCTCCAACTGTGCAAAGTCCTCCTGGTTTCTGGAATAGACCTGCTAATCATCCCATGCCTGGAGCTTGGCTGACATGACTGAAGGCAACATTAATGGTGAGTAACCACTGCATGGCATTTCCCCGAGACACACCTGACTTCTCACCTTCAGCTTCTTTCTCTGTCAGCTCACAGATGGCACAGTGAGAGGGCAGTAGCCACAGGAGTCTATTCAAGGACAGAAGCTGCAGTTTTGATGAGCAGTGGTTTAGCTGCCTCTAGGATGTCCAGTTCAGGGTCCAGTGAACGACCAAGACCTTCCAGGACCATGATGGCAAAGATGATGGAAGCAAAATTGCTCTCGAGCTTCACCTAGAATCACAAGCAACTGAATTAACTCAGTGGACCTTTTTTCTTCTAAGCCCATTCCACAGAAGTACTAGCTCTCACTAAGCTGAGAGGGAAGCGAAGAGGCAGGGGAGAACATGCACACATCCAAAACTATATTGTAACTCCATCACTTGGAGTTTCAGAACACACTGAAATCCAGCAGCAGGCCTAAAAATAAGACAACAGTTTCAGGAGAACAGCCTAAGGGAACCCAAGAGTTTGTTTTTCCATTCCAAGAAGGCAAATGGGATTTTTTTTTTCTTCCATACTGGAATAGCAGGATCTTAAAAGTGCTCACCATTGCTAGCTTAGTTATAAACTGCAGCAGTATCCAACGTACTTGAACACATGCACTTGTGTAAGGGAGAGCTCACCTTCTGAATGACCACAAAAGACCCCCACAGATCACAGAGGAAACTATTCTTTGCTCTGCATGTCAACAAACTACTCCCCAGTTCCCAGCCAGGCAGTAGGAGTGTTTCAAGGCATACCAGGGAATTAATAATTCATGGCATTGGGAGGACTTGCTTTGTAAGGGCCTAAATTACATTTCCTGTTATTAGAAACCAGCTTAATGAAATTTAATGACAAAAAACCTCTTAGCTAAGGAATGTTTAGAGGGACCCTTTGCAGGCTGACAACCTTCTCGTGTCCTCTAGTTCAGGCCACCATAGCTCTGTTGATTTCCAAAGTTGTTTGCAACTGTAGATAGTTGTCCCTCAAATACTACCAGTTATAAGAAAGAATCTCTGTTCTGTGGGCAGCTCCTCACTTTTGAGGCCTTTTACAAACCAGTAAAATGGCCTAGTACTGTTACACAACCACACATCAAGAAAGAGCTCCAGGGAAGAAAGCATGCAGTGATATGCAAGTGGAACATAGAAGATTTCATTTTCTGCTTCTGAGGAACTATATATTAAAAAAAATAGGAAAAAACTATGTGTTACAGCAAAATTCCTTTTAGTAAACAATATCAACCATTATATGCAGTATTAAGACAAAACCCAACAAAACAGAAACTGATCTTGGTAAGGTGCTTATCAAGGCCTGAAAAACAGTGTGCCTGCAACACCT